TGTTTAGTCTGCAGAAGCGAAGAGTGAGAGGGGATTTGATAGCAGCCTTCAACTTCCTGAAGGGAGGTTCCAAAGAGGATGGAGAGAGGCTGTTCTCAGTAGTGACAGATGGCAGAACAAGGAGCAATGGTCTCAAGTTGTGGTGGGAGAGGTCCAGGTTGGATATTAGGAAAAACTATTTCCCTAGGAGGGTGGGAAGCACTGGAATGGGTTCCCTAGGGAAGTAGTGGAGTCTTCATCCCTAGAGGTGTTTAAGTCTCGGCTTGACAAAGCCCTGGCTGGGTTGATTTAGTTGGAATTGGTCCTGGCTAGAGCAGGGGGCTGGACTTGATGACCTTCTGAGGTCCCTTCCAGTTCTATGATTCTATGATTCTGTTATGAACTGCAGGCAGTCCCCAGGTTACGTACAAGATAGGGACTGTAGGTTTGTTCTTAAGTTGAATTTGTATGTAAGTCGGAACTGGTACATATTGTAGGGGAAACTCTAGCCAAACATTTCTCCAGAGCTCAGTTTTATTCTCCCACACCTCACTTCCCTCAGTCCTTTATTCTCAAGCTGAGGTGTCTGCTGAGAAAAGCCGCTCCGTGTCTCCTTGGTCTGCTGGGGGGGGCGCTAGCTTCGTGTCTCCCTGGTCTGCTGGAGGGAAGCAGCTAGTGCGGGGTTGCCTCACCCCATTTGTAAGTTGGGATCCGATGTAAGTCGGATCCATGCAACCCGGGGACTGCCTGTATACTCAAGAGCATGTGGTGCAGAAAAATGGGAGCCTGCCTCGGGCTAATTTCAAGGCTTCCTTGTAGTATGGACACGCTATTTTGAAATAGTTATTTTGAGCATTATTATTTCAAAATAAGTTATGTCTAAATAATTTCCTAGTGTAGACGTGCCCTAGGGGAAATTGCCTTTGTACTGCGTTAACCAGCTGAGATCCTTCTATAATCCTAAATGGACAGTGTTGGATTTGCAAATTAATTGCAGTTCAGCTGTCTCCCTTTGTAACTAGTTTTTGGAATTCTTTTGAAGAAGGACGGCGATTTTCAAATCCATTCTTGTAAATCCATTATTGAATGTCCAGGGAGGTTAATATGTTTCCCTACGGGTTCATGTGTGTTGCCATTCCTGATATCTGATTGGTACCCATTTAGACTTTTTCCACAGAGACTGTCCGGTTTGACCAATTCACATGGCAGAGGGGCCTTGCTGGCACTTGATGGCATAGATCGCATTAGAGGATGTGCAGGTGCATGAGCCCCTGATGTGGAGACTGAGGTGGTTAGGTCCGGTGGTGGTGTCACTTGCACAGAGTTGGCAAAGGGATTTGTTGCAGGGGAAGGTTCTTGGGGGTGTGTCTAGACTACAGGGTTTTGTCAACAAAAGTGGACTTTTGTCGACAAAACTATATCTGCGTCTACACTGCCACTGAGTTCTGTTGACAGAACGTCGACAGAACTCAGCAGCTTTGTCGACGGCTGTAAACCTCATTGTATGAGGAATAACGCCTTTTGTCGACAGAGTTCTGTCGACAGCAGGCATTATTGAAACTACACTGTCCTTTTTGTCTACACTGTCATGTTGACAAAGCAGCTTGCTTTGTCGACAAAACTGGATGTAGTCTAGATGCTCTTTGTTGACAGAAGCTTTGTCGACAGTATCTGTCGACAGAACTTCTGTCTACAGAAGCCTGTAGTCTAGACATACCCTGGGTGAGTGTGTCTGTGATGCATTGTGTGGCTGCTGGAAAGGATTTGCTTCAGGTTGGGGGGCTGTCTGCAGGCAAGGACTGGCCTGTCTCCCAAGGCCTGTGAGAATGAGGGATGGTTTTCCAGAACAGGTTGTAGATTGTCAATGGTGCACTGGAGGGGTGTAAGCTGGAGGTTGTAGGTGATGCCTAGTGGTGTTCTGTTATTTACTTGTTGTGTGACAGATCGGGCCAGGTCTGGGCACCACTGAGGGTGTCCACTCAGGGCAAATTGCTCAAACCAGGGCTACTTACTGCCATTAAGAGGACCTGCAAAGGAGAGTCTGACTTATCAGGAGGGTGAGGAAAGGTTAAGCAACTCTGGAGATGAACCTGAGGGTGGGGCTTTGGGCATTCAGCCAATGAAATGCAGATAAGGAATTTCAAACTGAGAGAGGATTTTTTTCTCTCTCTCTTCCTTTGTTTTGGGTCAGAGAAATTTTTCCCCAGGTGGCAGGAGAGATGGACTCTGCCAGGAACAGATTCCTTGAATTCACTGAAATGTGTAAATAGGGAAAAGTTTAGATAGTCCATCAAGTTTTATTGTTTTCCTTGTCTGCGGGGTTGGAAATCCTGTCTGAGCTGGTTAATTGTTTTTCTCTTTTGTAACTAAGGAATTACAGCCCAAAAATTCTCCCTAAATCTATTTCAATCTATGGCTTTTAACACCCAGTCATTTATTATGCTTGCAACAGTAGTAGTCTTGTTTTAATAATAAAAGTGTTTTCTTTTTTCTTTCCTTGTTTTGGTGAACTGGCACTGCTTATTTTTGTGTCCTTAAACCTATGGGCCTAAATTACCCAGGAGGAGCAGAGCCCCATTGTTCTCTGTGGATTATCTCTGTTCGTTTTCCCAACTCCAAGCAAAACGAAGGTTGGGGGTAGAGCTTTGCCTCAGGGAGGGGATTCCAAGTGATCTCTACCCTGGAAAAGGGCTTATTTTATATTTTTATGTACACTTGGTGGAGGCAGCGACTGACCGTCTTTTTGGAGGGGGGGGATCTCAGGGAAACTGGGACTAGACAAGTTTTGTCTCTGGGAGCTACAGAGACAAGTTCTTACAAAGTTTGTTCTGCTAGCTGGCCCCCATATCTACACTTGAAGTACCAGATTGGGGAATTGAGCCGTGACACATACAAATCACTGTATCTTTATTTTAACACATTTTCTATTACCTTGTGCCAAGTGGTTAGTTGTGCAAACACATATATGGTTACGTCTACACTGGCAGCTTCTTGCGCAAGAACTCTTTTGCAGAAGAGTTCTTGTGCAAAAACTCTTCCACAAGACAGCATCTACACTGGCATGTGCTTTTGCACAGGAGCTGTGCTTTTGCTCAAGAGCATCCATGCCAGGGTAGACGCTCTCTTGCTCAAGAAAGCTCTGATGGACATAGGGACTTCTTGCACAAGGAATTCATGTTGCCTGTCTACAGTGGCCTCTTCTGGAAGAGCTCTTGCGCAAAAGGGCTTCTTCCTGAGAGGGAGCGTCAGAGTTCTAGCGCAAGGAGCCCTGATTTTATACATTAGAACGTCAGTTTACTTGCACAAGAACACGCGGCCAGTGTAGACAGGCAGCAAGTTTTTGCTCAAGAGCGGACGCTTTTGCGCAAGATCACGCCAGTGTAGACACAGCCATAGGGTCATAGGGTACTTACCTTATGTGAATAAACAGGATTAGGGTATAATTTCAGCTATATCACTGTGAAGAACATAAGAACAGCAATAGTGGGTGAGATCAAAGGTCTATCAAGTTTAGGATCCTGTCCTCCAACAGTAGCCAATGCCAGGTGCTCCAGAGCGAATGGACAGAACAGGGACTCATCAAGTGATCCTTCCCCTGTCGTCCATTCCCAGCTTCTGGCAAATAGAGGTGAATGATGCCATCCCTGCCCATCCTGAGTAACAGCCATTTATGGACCTATCCTCCAGGAATTTATCCAACTTCTCAAAGGACTTTTCTAGATCCTTTGTAACAACATTTGTGGTTAATGTTATTGCTATTTAACGCAGATGGTGCAGATCACACATGTTATTAATGAGATCTATATTTATATGCTAGACAGCATATATTAGTGAACAGGACAAAGGGGATAGCAAAACAGAGCAGGACTTTTTCCATGTAGTTTATTGACACACACACCTATGTATACACACACATATTACTCCATTTCATTTCAATTTATTGTTGATCCCAGAAAGAGAACTTTGAATACTTTGAATGCTGAGATCACTGTGTCGAGAATTTGTGGAGTCCCGGAGGGCACTTTGGGCAAATACACACTTGCTCACCCCCCACACGCTCCACCCTTGACCTAGTGCATTGTGCTGTTGTGTGATACTGTAAAACAACTGAAGATAGACTCCCAGACAGTCAGGCATCACAAGACAGGACAGATTCTCACACACACACACACACAAGTTGGCACATGGAAGATGTCCCAGTGGCATGTTTGGGACAGATAAGCCCAGTGCTCGGTAATTATTCTAGTGCCTAAATGGCCTCTGGTGTGTTGCTCCCTGTCAGTGGAGACCAAATTTCAGGCATGGTTAAAGCATTCTTTCCTGCAGTATGCATGTGGTTAGGCGGGGGGGACAGAATTAAAGGCCAAATGTTGCAGCAAAGCAAGAAACGTTGTGAAGCACCTTCATGCTCTACTTTGTTACCAGTGCTGTATACATGGGGTAGAGAAGGGGTGGGGAAACTAAGGCCCAGGGACTGGATGAGGTCCCCCAGCTTCCCCTGCAGCTCAGGGGAGCCCATGCTAGTACTCCAGGGCTCCCCCCAGCACTGAGGAGCCCGTGCTGGTGCTCCAGCCCCCCAACTCCCTGCTGCTTCTCCCCCTCCCTTCCCCACAGGTCTACAACACATAATCTGCTAGCCTGAGCCCCCTATGCTCTGGTGTGAGAGAAGAATGTGGGGAGGGTCTTTCTCCTTCAGTCGGGAGCCATGTCAGTGAGGGTTTCTTTTTGCTTCTCACTTGTGTACAGCCCCCTGACTGATTTTCCTGTGGGTCAGCAGCCCCCAACCCAAAAAAGTTCTCCACCCCTGGGGTAGAGTAAAGACAAGGTCATGGCCAAGATAACCTTCTGGACAGCAGTGCTAGGCTCCTGTAGGAAACAGTGTATTTGTTTCCTGTGAATAGGTGGGGGAGTTCCCATCTGAGCATACACAAAGCCCTGACAAGAATGATGTTCCATATCTTCAGAAAACATCAGATGCAACCTCTGCTCCCTGATTGCTCAATGTCACCATCCTGACCAGCCTAGAGGCTTTTCCTTCGGAACAAGGAAAGCACCCGCACCCGGATTTGTTTGGTTTTCACACCGTACACAATGGGGTTCATCATGGGAGGAAAGAGGAGGTAGAAATTGGCCATCAGGATATGCACGTGCGGGGCGACGTGCTGTCCGAACCTGTGAATTATTGAGGAGAGAACCACCGGTGTGTAGACCACTAAGATGGCACAAAGGTGGGAAACACAAGTTCCAAAAGCTTTGACCTGCTCTTCCTGGGATGCCAGGCTTAAGACAGCCCTGAGGATCCTGACGTATGATAGGGCAATGAACATCAGATCCAGCCCCACGATGAAGAGAGTCACAGTGATGCCATAGATGTTATTGATCCTTGTGTCGGCACAGGCTAGATTCACCACGGCCATGTGCTCGCAGTAGCAGTGGGAGATGACATGGGACCGGCAATAAGGCAACCTCCTCACAAGGAAGGGCAGAGGAACCATTAACATAACCGCCCGGGCCAAAGCCGCCAGCCCGATCTTCGCTATCACTGAATTGGTCAGGATGGTGGTGTACCTCAGGGGGTTGCAGATGGCCACAAACCTGTCAAAGGCCATGGCCAGCAGCACGGCAGACTCCATGATGGAAAATGAGTGAAGGAAAAACATCTGCACCAGGCAGGTGCTAAAGTTGATCTCCCTGGAATTAAACCAGAAGATGCTCAGTGTTTTTGGCATGGTGGTTGTGGATAAAACAAGGTCAATGATAGCCAGCATGGCGAGGAAATAGAACATGGGCTTGTGTAGGGAGGGCTCTGTCCTGATAACATACAACAGAGTGCAGTTTCCTAGAAGGGCCACGATGAACACTAAGCAGAAGGGGATGGCGATCCAGAGGTGCATGGGTTCGAGGCCTGGAATGCCCGTCAGGAAGAACAAGGACAGGCCAGAACCAGTGCCGTTGGAATCTGACATGCTATCTTCTCGCAAATAACATATCAATGTATTTCCTTCCAAGAACCCATAACACATGGATTGAACAGATCCTGTAAATTAAATACATATTTGGGATCAGCATCAGCTCTGGAAGAACTGGATCCATCTCCTGTGGAGTCATGTTGCATTAACACTAATTATACAAACCCGTGTATTTTTCTCTGAAAGAATCAGAGTTTTTACAGTGTCGGTACAAGTCATGAGCAATGAACCCAATGTGTTTACATGTATCGTACCAGATGGACCTTGGTACTGGGAGATGCACATTTCTTAGGCCAGCTCAACACTGGCAGAGAAAATTGATGTAAGATACACCGTTCCAGCCACAACAATTGCATAGCTGGACACTACGTACCTTACATCAGTTTTCTGGGGCAGTCTCACAGCGGATTATCGATGGGAGAAACTCTCCCGTTGACTTCCCTTACTCACTGCTGTTGCAAGGAGTACCATGGACAATTGGGGTGCCCTCAACATTTGATTTAATATGTCTTTGCTAGACCTGCTCAGTTGAGCCCTGGAAGATGGATCACTGGAGGGTTAATCCCCTGGTAAGTGGAGATGTAACCTTAGTGTGTATTCTGCTCCCACTGGAGTCATGGGGAGAATTCCGCACTGACCTCTGGGTTAAATGAGATGTTCTGTGGAGGTGACACATCTGACACAGCCAGAGCATGGGCAGTTTTGGGAAGGCAAGACCTGCCCTTGCCTATGTGACACGCAGCCCCAGCTGCAAAGGGTGGGCCCCAGTCTGCTTCATGCCCCCAGCTCCCTACTTGATACAGGAGAGTTGACCTGACGGTGAGCCGCACCGGAGGGGAAAGGCTACTTTGGAAAGGGGCCTGACCCAACCAGAGGAGAAGCAGAGACCATAGGGATAACCCTCCTCCCTCTCCCCCATGCTGGCCAATGAGGAGGCTGTGGAGGCGAATGGCAGGTTTGCGCCCCCGGGGACAATGGCTGCCATTTACCTCTGAGCAGGAGACTCACTCAGGTAAGGGGGAGCTTTGTGACATCTCTCTGCCAAGATATATATCCCCCAGACTGAAATCTCCCATGATAATACAGAGGCACAATAAAGAGTCTCCCAGTGTAATTAGACAAAGTAAGAAAAAGACAGTTGTGAGTGCAACCCAAACACCCCTGATTTTTTGAATACTCAGTGGTTTCTTTGCAGGATTGTTTTGTTTTGTTTTTTCGTGGAAATAAATTGTTCTCTTCTAAATAACCATTCGCTCCACACTCACTTATACAAGTGCAAATCCAGAATCACTCCAGGTTTGCATGAGTGTGGCAGGCTGCACATAAGAACGGCCACACTGGGTCAGACCAAAGGTCCATCTAGCCCAGTGTCCTGTCTGCCGACAGTGGCCAACACCAGAGAGGGAATCATCAAGTGATCCCTCTCCTGTCATCCATTTCCAGACAGAGGCTAGGAACACCATTCCTACCCATCCTGGCTAATAGACATTGATGGACTTAACCTCCATGAGTCTATCTAGCTCTTTTTTGAACCCTGTTCAAGTCCTACTCTTCACCACATCCTCTGGCAAGGAGTTCCACAGGTCGACTGTGCGATAAGTGAAGAAAAACATCCTTCTGTTTGTTTTAAACCTGCTGCCTATTAAAATCTCCTAGATTAATATAAGCTACCCCAGCTCACCTGAACCCTGGCTGTGTCTTCTTCCCTCTCAGCACATGGGGAAGTCACACACAAGCTGCATGACTCTCCACTCAGCCAGGATCAACTGGGTGAGATTATTTATACCCCCATATGACACCCTGCAGGCTTTGCTCCCCAGATGGGGGTTCAGAGACTTGCATTTGCTTTGGCGCTTAGGGAGTGACAGCAAGTGGTGAAAGTAGATTAACCCCTGCCTTTCCTCCGGAATGGCTGTTAATATCGACATCCATGTGAAAAAGCATGGGCCAAGCCCGTACTAGTGTCGGGGTAGAATCCAGGTCCGTATTTTTGCCTGAGACAGTATTTCGAGTTCTGTTTTCCCGTTTGGTTTTCCGATATATATTCATTCTTGCTAATATGTGGGAACAACAAGATCCTTACAAAGGACAAAGATAGATATGATGGAGGCTGCTTTTTCCTAAGACAGATGGGCTTGTTAGTCTGGAGGGAGCAGATAAGTGTAGTAAAAGAGTTACTGGGCATGGCAGGAGTATAATGTACAAGCGCACACTTGAAGGCTGCCTCGATTCCTATCTCAAGGCAGGGTCAAGCAACTAGTTGGGCATAGGAGAGATAAAACTCAAAAAGGCCAGTAGTGAAATAACAGGTTCAGGACTGTTTAGAAAGCTGAATATGCACAAGTCCATAGGTCTAGATCAAATGTGTCCAAGGATGTTGAGAGAATTGGCTGATGTGAGTGCAGTTATTGGCCTCTCTTTGACAACTCAGGGTGACTGGGGGGAGGTCCCGGATGATTGCAAAAAAGCAAATGTAGTGTTCATCATTAAAAATGGGAAGGAGGAGGATCTGGGGAAGGACAGCCCAGTCAACCTTACCTCAGCCCCCAGAAAAATCATGGAGCAGGTCCTCAAAGAATCCACTTTTGAAACACTGGGAGGTGAAGATGGTGATCAGGACCAGTCAACATGGATTCACCAAGGGCAAGTCAATGCCTGAAGAAGATAATTGCCTTCAAGGATGAGATAACGGGCTCTGTGGATATGGGGAAAGCGGGGCAAAGCTTTCATAGTCTCCCACACTATACTTGCCAACATGTTAAAGAAATATGGCTTGGATGAATGAACGATAAGGTGGACAGAAATCTAGATAGATCATTGGGTTCAATGGGTAGTGATCAACCGAGCACTTTCTAGATCAACCTTGACAGGTGTCTGTCCAACCTGCTCTTAAATATCTCCAGCGATGGAGATTCCACAACCTCCCGAGGCAATTTATTCCAGTGTTTCACCACCCTGACAGGTAGGAAGTTTTTCCTAATGTCCACTCTAAACCTCCCTTGCTGCAATTTAAGCCTATTGCTTCTTGTCCTATCATCAGAGGCTGAGGAGAACAATTTTCCCCCTTCCTCCCTGTGACACCCTTTTAGATACCTGAAAACTGATATCATGTCCCCTCTCAGTCTTCTCTTTTCTAATCTAAACAAGCCCAATTCTTTCAGGGTATGTCTACACTGCAAAGTTAATAGCGTCTATACATGCAAACCGCTATTTCAATTTTAATCTGAAATAGCGGAGCCCTTAATTTGAATTTGGTAAACCTCATTCTCTGAGGAGTAACGCCAAATTCGAAATAGTTATTTTGAATTAAGTGCAGTGTAGTCACTTAATTCGAAATAGGGGGCCTCTAGCCGTTCCCAGGGAGCCCTGGTGGCCACTCTGGGCATAACCAGGAAGACTTACTCTCCTCTCCCCCAGCCCCGGAGCCATTAAAGGGGTCGACCCTGGCCACAGTGACTGTGCCAGATCCAAGCCTGCCAGCCCAGAGCCAGCAGTCACTGCCCTGACCCAGTGGCCCCACAACATGAGCCAGTAAGCCACTGGCAGCCAGCCCTCTGACACTCCACAGGAGCAGTCTGCCAGTTCCCAGGAGCCTGCCAGGGCCCAGAGAAGGCAGGCGCCTTCCTGGTCCAGGGTGGAGATCATTGACTTTATTCGGTTTGGGGGGTATGCCCCCAACATCCATGATCTCCACACTAGATGGAGCAATGCAGCTCTCTATGGCAGGATAGCAGCCAGCCTGGCCACTAAAGGCTATATGTGAACTCAGGAGCAGGTTTGCATAAAAAACAAGTTGGTCCAGCGAGACCTCCACCC